CCCGTTCCGTCTTCGCCCTTGCTTGGGCGTCTGCTGTGGCCCCCTTCCCACACCCCTTCCCTTGAGCTCCGCCGGGGCCTCGCCCTGTCTTTTGCACCCTTCTCCAGCGTGTGTCGATCCCTGGGCTTCTTGAGCCGTGTGGGTCCCGCCCTGATCCCAGCCGACCTGCCAGAGACAGCCGCCCCGGCCTCATTCCCCTCCTGAGACCCCACCTTCTCGTGGCTCTACCGTGATCACGTCCTGCTCAGCCACTCCCACCCACCCTAAGCCTGGGAAGCCAGGGACAGAGCCGGAGCGTGGCTCCACACCACCACCCCTCACCTCGCGTGGAGCCATATATACCCCACCCTAGCAAGCTGTACCACATTAACTGTGTTATATCCGCATATTTAGAAAGGCTACAACAGAAAAATAAAAACACTACCAGTAAGGGGCCTTTCAGATTTTTGCTCTAGGAAGTAGCACTGTGGCTCAAAGTGACAAAGCACTAGTCTTGAGCAGAGAAGCTCAGGGACAGCGCCCAGGTACTAGGTTCAAGCCCCATGACCTACCAAAAATAACTTCATAAGATTCTTGCTCTTCAAGAGTCCTAGGGATGGTGCTGGGAAGGTGGCTCAGTGGTAGAGTGCTTGCCTTGCTTGCATGAGGCCCTGGATTCGATTTCTCAGCACCACATAAGCAGAAAAAGCTGGAAGTGGGGCTGAGGCTCAGGTGGTAGAGCACTGGTCTACAGCTGAAGAGCTGGGGGACAGAAGTGCCCAGGCCCAGAGCTCAGGCCCCACAACCAACAACAACAACAACAAAAGGTCCTAGGGAAAATGGATGAGCCTAGAACAAATTACATTAAAGTGAGGGAAGCCAAACTCAAGGAGACAAACGGCATGTTTTCCCTGGTATGCAGAAGCTAAATCTGAAATACACTAGAACACGAAAAATTATATAGGAATCTAGGTATTCACACACAATGAGACCAAAGGAGGATATTTTTGGTGGAGGAACACAAAGGCACAATGCCTGCATGCATCTGATCACATAAAATAACATTTATTGAAATGAAGTCCAGGCAATAGAAAGAGGGTTTTTCCTTTGTTGCCGTTTTTGTTTTCTTTTCTTTTTGTTTTGTTTGTTAATTTATCTGTCTTTGGGAGGGTGAGGGGGAGCGCAGAAATGAAGGACGAAGAGTGAACAAATGTAGCAGTGTACTCACTAGACACTATGATGAAAATGAAACACACAACCGTGGGAAAGAAAAACTGGGAGAGCGCGGAGGGGAGAGGCGGCATTGTCAAGAAGAAATGCACTCCTGGGCTGGGAAGGGGGCTCAGTGGTAGAGCGCTTGCCTTGCATGCCTGAGGCCCTGGGTTCGATTCCTCAGCACCACATAAGCAAAAAGGAAAAAAAAAAGCTGGAAGTGGTGCTGAGGCTCAAGTGGTAGAGCGCTAGCCTTGATCTGAAGAGCTGAGGGACAGCGCCCAGGCCCAGAGTTCAGGCTCCACGACCGGACCCAAAAAAAAAAAACAAAAAAAAGAAAGAAATGCACTCTTCACACGACTCTTCACGCGACTTATGTAACTCTAACCCTGCTGTCCTGGCACCCAGCTCTGTACATCACCTTTATAATAACAATTTTAAAAAATTCAGAGCCAGTTGCCGGTGACTCATGCCTGTAATCCTAACTACTCAGGAGGTCGAAATCTGAGGATCACATTTGAAAGTTCCAGTGAGACTCTTATCTCCAATCCAATAAACTACACACACACACAAAAGCTGGAAATGGCCCTGTGGCTCAAATGGTAGGGTAATAGCCTTGAGCATAGAGAGGCTCTGGCTAGCTCCCAGGCCTTAAGTCCTAGCTCCAGGATTGGCACAAAAAAAAAAAAGATAAAATAAAAAAAGAAAAGTCCGGTCTGGGAAGGTGGCTCAGTGGTAGAGCGCTTGCCTTGCATGCATGAGGCCCTGGGTTCGGTTCCTCAGCACCACATAAGCAAAAAGAAAAAAGCCGAAGTGGCGCTGTGGCTCAGTGGTAGAGCGCTAGCCTTGAGCTGAAGAGCTGAGGGACAGTGCCCAGGCCCAGTGTTCAGGCCCCACAACCGGACCCAAAAAATAAAATAAATAAATAATTAAAAAGTTTCTGCCCAGCAAAGGACATAGTTACTAAACTAGAAAGACAGCCAACAGACTGGGAGAAGATCTTTGCCAGCTATATAGCCAATAAGGGCCTAATACCCAAAATATTCAAGGAGCTCAAGAAACAAACCTCACCAAAATTATTAACCCAAACAATAAATGGGCAAAGGAGCTAGATAGAGATTTCTCTGAAGAAGAAAAAGTGGCCAATAGACACATTAGGATACCTTCAACATCCCCAGCCATAAATAAAATGCAAATCAAAACAACATTGAGAGCCAGTCACCAATGGCTCACGCCTGTCATCCTAGCTACTCAGGAGACTGAGATCTGAGGATCACAGTTCAAAGCCAGCCCAGGCAGGAAAGTCTGTGAAACTCTTATCTCCAATGAACCACCAGAAAACCAGAAGTGGCGCTGTGGTTCAAGTGGTAGAACATTCGCCTTGAGCTGAAGAGCTGAGGGACAGCGCCCAGGCCCAGAGTTCAAGACCCATGACTAGGGCTGGGAAGGTGGCTCAGTGGTAGAGCGCTTGCCTTGCATGCTCGAGGCCCTGGGTTCGATTCCTCGGCACCACATAAACAAAAAGAAAAAAGCCAGAAGTGGGGCTGTGGCTCAAGTGGTAGAGCTCTAGCCTTGAGCTGAAGAGCTGAGGGACAGCGCCCAGGCCCAGAGTTCAGGCCCCACGACCGGACCCAAAAAACAAAAAACAAAAAAAAAAAAAGACCCATGACTAACAACAACAAAAAAAAAAGCACTGAGATTCCATCACACCCAGTAAGGTCGGTCAGCATTGAGAATTCAAACAATAATAAATGCTAGCTGGGATGGGGAGAAAAAAAACCCTGTTGCACTGTTGGTGGGAATACAAACTAACACAACCACATCGGACGATGGTTTGGAGGTTCCTCAAAAAACTAAGCATATATCTTCCCTATCTCCCAGCCATGCCGCTCCTGGGCATCTACCAAGATCACTACATATATCACTGTTACGTATATCTATAATGGCATTTTACTCATCCATTAGAAAGAATAATACTATGCTGCTTGCAGGGAAACAGATGGACCCAGAATGAATCATGCTGAGTAACCCATGCTCAAAGAGACAAACGGTGTGTCTTTTTTTCTCACAGGTGGAAGCTAGATCTAAAACACAACTGGACATGATAACCTATATAGCACTCAAAACATTTACACACACACACAACTGACTAAAGGAGGTTTGCTAGGGGAGGAATCCGAAGGTGTAACTTCTCTAAACTACTAATGTACTGTGTGTCCAAATAAATACCAGGAAATGGAAACATTTTTGGAGGGTGGGCAGAGGGGGCTCAGGAATGCAGGGAGGGAGGGTGAGCAAATGTAGTCATTATATTCAATATTCACTATGCGAAAAACAAACTATATAACTAACCTGTGGGCAGGGATGGGAGGGAGAAGATGGGGAAGAAGGAAGAGGCGCGCCTCTGACCAAGAAGCACCGCTCTCCTTCCCTGGCCTTGGAAGTGTGATCCCATTGTACAACTATTTAATAGCAATTTTAAAAAAACAAAGACTTTGCTCTTTAGTCTTCAGCTGACCGGATGAGGCCCCCCCCATATGATGGAAGGCAACCTCTTCTTCCAAAATATGCTTGCAGCAATTTCTAGAGCAGTATTTGGCCAAGTGCCTGGGCAAGCCGGCCTACCAACACCGACAACGTGTAACCATCATAGACGACATCAACTCAAAAAGAGGCCGGGCAGAGATACCTTGTCAAGTTCCAGAGTGGTAGGGTGGAGGAAAAGCCCTGCTCCGTGGGCTGTGGGCCCGAGTCGAGTGACTCAGCCAGCACTGGAGCATCACAGCCCCCCGGCCCCCCATTGTGAGGTCCGGGTGGAATGCTCAACTCAGACAGACCCCAGGCCTCACTGCCCTCTCCCTCCCGCCCCACCTCCACTCGGTGGGAGTCTGCCCTCTGCCCGCTCGCCTGTGTCTGGACTTCATCCTCTGAGTCCTGTCCTGTGGAAAGGTCGGGGAGCAGACTGCCCAGAGCCAGGAAGGCATGAGGGTCTGGCCTCCCCTGAGTCCCACAGCCAGCTGGTGGCGCCCCGTGTGGCCGGCTCTGAGGGAAGGGAGGGAGGCAGAGAGGACTCGGCGTGAGGGAGGGCATGCCAGGAGTCTTGAGCTCTTGGAGCCAGCTGAGAAAGGCCAGGGAGCAGAGATCCAGGTACAGGGAAGGCTCCACCAGGATGTGGACCGGGCTGCAGGAAGCCAGGGGCCTGGCTGAGGGAGTCCCAGGACCACCTGCCAACCACCGATTCAAGGTGCCCAGGGCCAGAAGAACCTGGGCATCCAAGGCATGCCTTCTCGGGAGGACGCCAGCAGGTCAGATCCAGGCGTGCCCAGGAAGGCAAGAAAAAGGGCACCATGGAGGAAGGCAGCGGGCGTGTCTCCATTGGCTACCTACCATGCCAAGCCGGGGAATTCCAGGGGACTGGCATCACCCTGCCCACACCGTAACGCCGGGAACAGAGTGAAGAAGCTAATGCACAACACCAGGACCAGCGCTCCAGCGTGGGGCACACCCCACGCCTTGGGGCAGCAGGGAGCTCCATGTAGGGGAACAGAGGCCTCGGAGGGCGCGGAGGGCAAAGCGGGCCAGACAGGGAGCTCAGAGCATTCCACGCCGACCAGGGCCGGAGGCCGGGGCTCAGCCGGCCAACGCAGGGGCAAAGAGGGAGGCACAGCCGCTGACCTCACAATACCCAGCACCTGCTGGGCCAGCCTTGCAGAGCACCAGGCCCTCTTCCAGCCCGGGCCAGGCCCGGGCCCCTGGGCAGCCTCCGGGTGCAGTGCCCCCCCCCCGTGCCCTCGCCACCCCCCTGGGGCATGTCTCTACCCATCAATTATGAGGGTCTTCGGCACCAGATAGAGAAGCTGGTGCGGGAAAATGAGGAGCTGAAGAAGCTGGTGCGGCTCATCCGGGAGAATCACGAGCTCAAATCTGCAATCAAGACTCAGGCAGGCGGCTTCAACAGCGGGCTCTGCGAGGTGGCCACAGGGACTCCCCAGAATCCAGGTAACCACGCGGGGCGGGGCCAAGGACAGTGGGGGGGCGGGGGGGGGAGTGAGGCTGCCCAGAAAGGGCCGTTCCCTGTGCCAGAGTACACTTGGGGGACACAGACCCACAGGTGGGAAGGGCAAACCCCGGCCTAATTCCACCCCCCTCTGCCCCTCCTCCCCACTTAACACCAAGACTGCAAACTTCCCACCTGTGGAACCCAAGCCTGCCGCCCCGCCAGACCCAGCCTGGCCCAAGTCCTGGAGCCCCCCGCTGGGCCCTCCTCCCTTACAGCAGCCTTTCCCAGCACTGGCCACGTGCGCGTCCTTATTCCTCCCTGGTAACTCTCCACTTAGAGATGGCCACTCACGCGTGGAATCTGAAACAAGAGCTAGAACTTGAGGCTTGGGATTTGTGAGTGCGTGACCGGTGGCTGAAGCTGGGGCTGCTCGGGGAGGGCGACACAGAGGCAGACAGCAGCTCGTGGTGTTGCGGGGAAAGCTGAAGGGATGGTCCACAGGCTCAGCCTGAGCAGAGGGGCTTCGGGGTGGCGTCTGAGGCCTCAGTGAGGGAGAGGGGGAGGAATGGAAGCCAGGGTCAGCCCTGTGACGTCTCGGGAGTCTTGAGCGGCCCTTGGAGCCGGTGTCTGGCTCACGGTGAGTAGGTGGTCACCGAGGGTGTGAGCAGAGTGACAAAACACTGGCGCCTATTACTTCCTCGCTGCAATGTCCCTCCTGTGCTAGAGACAGGTGTGTTCCCTCCTCCAAGGGTGGGCACTTCCACCGATCCCGCCGTGCCTGACCTCGGTCCATGCCTGTGCCTCAGGGTCCCCTCCCCGCTCATCAGGCCTAAAACTTCCTCCTTGCCAAGAGCAAGACTGCTCTTTTGTGCTCTCTGACGAGTTACGCCTCTCAGGCTTGGTAACACCCCAACACGGACATTCTAGAAAGGTGCTGGGGGCTTCCTGAGGGCTGCCTGAGCTGCCAGGTGAACGCTGATGGCTCTTCCTGAGCCCAAGCAGGCCTCACCCTCAGCCAACCGTTCCTGCACCACGGCAACTCTGAGGGCCCTGCAGGCCCCGGGGCCCCCGAAGCCTGGCCTTCTGCACCCCAGACACCAGTCTGAGAACTGCAGTCCCGGAGGCCCCTGCTCTCTCCTCTGCCGGCCCCTCCCCCGGCTGGCTACACCCAGCCTGGCAGGGCCAACTTCCCCAGGCCTGGTCGCTAGTGCACGAGCCTCTCCTGGCTTTCAGACAGGAGGGTGCTCCCTTCCTCCTACACCAAAATAGAGCTCTGACCCCGACGCGGACGGCATGCAGACCTGTCCAGTGTTCCCTATTTCCATAAGCCAAACTCAAAAGACAAATGCCTCACATTTTACTCATTAGCTGATTCTAAACCTAAACTACCAACAACAATATGCCATGATTGTAACACGATTGAAACAGAGAGGCTGTTCACTGGAGCGACCCACAGTGGAGAGAGGGAGAGTGGAGGAGTTGCGAGGGCGAATATCACAGAGGTGTAGTTCATGCACACGTAAAAACGGCAGAACGGGATGCGCTGAGGATGGAAAAGAGGATTAAAAAAGTAGATCGGATCATACCACACCAAAACCCCTTGTACAATTTATGCTAGTAAGAAAAGAAGCTGGGCGCTGGCGGCTCACACCTGTAATCCTAACTACTCCGGAGGCTGACATGTGAAGATTATCACTCAAAGCCAGTGCAGGCAGGAAAGTCTGTGAGACTCTTATCTCCAGTTAATTACCAAAAACCAGAAATGGAGCTGCCACTCAAGTAGCCTTGACTAAAACAGCTTAGGGACAGTACCCTGGCCCTGAGGTCAAGCCCCAGAATTGGCCCACACACAGAGACACACAGACACAGTGTGAAAAAATAATATTCCCCGGGAGTTGTGATGTTTAAGAAATCACACAGTTTAAGAATTTAGACTCTGGGCTGGGGTATAGCTCACATTTGCTGCAAATGTGAGGCCCTGGATTCAGTCTCCACTATGGAGAAAGAAGGGAGGAGAAAAACTAGCCTCTGATTTACTACTCATGTGATGACCAAACAAGCCTTAGGTTTATTTTATTTCTCACTAGATAGCCCCGACTGGCCTCCACTTCATGAGTCTCCTACTTCAGCCTCCAGGTGCTGGGTCTATAGGTTCATGCCACCACTGGCTTTTAGATTTGATTCTTTTCTCTTTTATCTTTTTTTGGTGCCAGTCCTGGGGCTTGAACTCAGGGCCTGGGTGCTGTCCTAAACATCTATGCTCAAGGCTAGCATTCTACCACTTGAGCCACAGCTCCGCTTCTGACTTTTTGGTAGTTTATTGGAGCTAATAGACTCTCCTGTCTGGGCTGGCTTTGAACTATGATCCTCAGATCTGGGCCTCCTGAGAAATTAGAAGGGGGAAGCCGAGAGCATTCCAGAAGGGGGGTGGCAAGAATGAAATTACGTGAGTGGGTTTCAGCTCAGACTTTGTGTGTGAGCATGCGCGTGGTGTGCCATGATGGGTGAGTATGGAGCGTACGGAACAGGTACGTGACTGAGACGTGTGTTGGGTATGCGCGTGTGTGTGGAAGCTCGTGTGTGAACACGTGAGAATGTGTTTGTGTGTGAGCTAAGGTGTGTGACACACGCGTGCGTGCGTGTGCTAGGTGTCCACGTGTGTGACTGTGTTGTGTATGGGTGTGCATTAGGAGTGGCGATACAACAAGGAGCCTGGACTTTTCCCTAAGGGGAAACATGATTTCTAACAGGGAGTAATTCTGTTTGTGCTCAGCAGGATCATTCCAGCTGCTGTGTGGAAGCGGGTCTGAGGGGCTGGGCAGACATCGATAGATAGGCTGTGGTCACTCCCATGGGAGTGGACAGCAGGACGCAGGTGGGGGCAATGCATTCATTGAGTAAAAACCAGAAACCCTGACTTCTTGACTGTAAGCTGCCAGCCGGCTGAGGTGGCCGGGTGGCCAGTGCCGCCACTTCCCGAGGACGCACAGCTCACCTCAGCCTGCTAAGGTGGGTCCTTAGAGTTGCTCCACAGGATATCCTGGGGCCATGTCCCCACCCCGTTGCCTCCCCAGCTTGCTTCTGAGCACAACCTTCCTCTTAGAGCCAGTCTCTCTCTTTTTTTTTTGGTCGTGGGGCTTGAACTCTGGGCCTGGGCGCTGTCCCTCAGCTCTTCAGCTCAAGGCCGGTGCTCTACCACTTGAGCCACAGCGCCACTTCTGGTTTTCTGGTGGTTTATTGGAGATAAGAGTCTCACAGACTTTCCTGCCCAGGCTGGCTTTGAACTGCAACCTCAAGTCTCAGCCTCCTGAGCCTCCAGGCGTGAGCCACCAGCGCCCAGCCCAGTCTCTTATTCTTTTTTTTTTTTTTTGATTTTTTTTTATTGTGAAAATACTGTACAGAGGGGTTACAATTACATGGGCAAGATAATGAGTACATTTCTTATCAAGCATTGTAGCCTCCTCTTTTGTTTCCCCTTCCCATCCTCCCCCCGCCCCCCTCATCCTCCCCGCACCCCCTCCCTTGTCCCCCCCCCCCACCCCGCACCAAAGTTGTAATATTTGTTTTCGACATAATGACTTGTACATCTCATTGTTGCAATGGGTCCACCTGTATCCCTATTTAAACGATTTGTTTTTCCCCTTCCCCTCCACAAATTATACCGACATCAAATACAGTGAAAGCAGGGGTTATACTGTGGGGGAGGGCCAGTCTTTTATTCTTGAGCCACAGCACTACTTCTGCTTTTTCTGTGTAGTGGTACTGAGGAATGGAATCCAAGGCTTCATGCATCTTAGGCAAGCGCTCTACCACTGAGCCACCTTCCCACCAGTCTCTTATTCTTACTTGAGCGAGTGCACGAATTGCCCTTTCCTGTGCCATCTTCCTCCCTTGTGCTCAGATCCAGGGCTCTGCCCCAGGCCCGTTCAGAAGGAAGGATGTAAGCAGAGTAGAACTCGGGTGCCGAAGCACGTGAGCCAGGTCCCTGCAGCTCAGGACAGAGCTGAGAGAGAACAGGGGCAGAACAGGGTTCAAATGGGGAGAGAAAGAAGGGAACAGAACGGAGTATAGGATCAGCATTATATCCAGTCCACTACAGGAAGCACAGATTGGAACTCTGAATTCCAGTCTGACCACCTGCGCTGTTACAAAGGTTTATGTGTCAGAGTTAGAAAATAGAACATAATTTGGCAATTGGCTTGAGTGGTAAGTTCCAGGCCCCTGGCATGTGGTATGTGGGCCTCTGTGTGTGCCCACGCACCTGCAAATGCCAGAGGTGAGCCTGGAAAAGGGAAAGGCAGTTCTGGAGAGGGACTGTGAGTTGTATTTTGGACAAACCAATTTTAAACATCCACAAAGCATCCACAGGGAGTGTCAGGCAAAACCAATCCCGAAGCCGGAGAAGAGATCAGTGCTAGACAAACAATGTTGGTAACAGAAACCACAGGAGGGATGAGACGTCCGAAAAGGCCATACACAGTAAGAAGGGACTGGGGAAGGAAGGACAGACTGGGGAAGGGCAGGTCAGGAAGTTGGCAAAGCAGTGTCCAGAGAGCCAAAGAAAACTTCAACATTTGCTGCCTTAGAAGCCAGGAAACAGCTTCATGGAGGAGAGTGCCAACAGAGTAATGGCTGCTAAGTGGTCAAGCAGAAAAATGTCTATAGACCGGGCACTGGTGGCTCACGCCTGTAATACTAGCTACTCAGGAGTCTGAGATCTGAGCATTATGCTTGAAAGCCCAGGCAAAAGGATCCTGATACTCGTTTTTTTTTTTTTTTTTTTCCTTCTGTCAGTTGTGGGGCTTGAACTCTGGGCCTGGACGCTGTCCCTCAGCTCTTCAGCTCAAGGCAAGCACCACTTGAGCCACAGCACCACTTCCGGTTTTCTAGTGGTTTATTGGAGATTAGAGTCTCACAGACTTTCCTGCCTGGACTGGCTTTGAACTGTGATCCTCAAATCTCAGCCTCCTGAGTAGCTAGGATTATAGACATGAGCCAC